TTATTCATATGCATTTTATTTTTGTTTTCTAAGTGCAAGATTTTGCATTTGATTCTGTGGGGTTTCATTCTATTATTTTCAGCTCATTTTGGAAGAACATTTAAAGTGAATATTGAACTACAACCAGATACCCATGAGAAAGAGTTTATTGCACAGGACTGACTTTACACCTGAATGGTTTACCAATATATAGGTGATGAGTAGCATTCTACATTTTTGGTTCTTGGGCTTTGTTGATAGATATTTCCTCTATTTTATTATGGTTTCAAAATGTTCACTAGAATTTTTTTTTCATTGTGTCTTTGATGAGTTTGAAAAGAAATGACTATATGTTATTGTCTGCTATGTTCTAAACTAAAATTCAAAGCAGGCAAATATTCACAATCAAAATTGACAAGATCTTGAGAGATTTCACACAAGAACAAATCTTGCAAAATCTAAACACAGTATCTTATGAATTCTGGAATTTATTGGTAGGTTACTAGAGATCAAAAAAGGACATACAAAATACAAAACAACAGAGTTGGAAGGGACCTTGGAAGTCTTCTAGTCATCATAAATGCACCATCCATGTCTATTGTATTGCTGCTCCACATTCCCAAGTAAGGAGATGCCAGAATAACTTCTCAAGGTACATTTTGTGCATTTGGGAGAAAGTTATTCAGAAAGTCATATAGCTCCTTTTGTTATTCTTCACCATCTGTACCGCCATCTGTACCACCTCAATAGCTCTAAAATGAAGTACTGGAGCATTGTTTCAATAATCCAGCTTATTGTTTATTGTCATCAGTACTCTCCCTTTATCCACCTCACCAAGAGAAGATGTTGCTTTTTATATTATAGATGACTCAATCTTCTGCAAGCTTAAGAGATATGAGATAATAATGCTATTTGATACCGATAACTGTCTGAATGCAACAGAATGATTCTGTATAAAACCTTAGGTATATTTAAGGTGATCAGACGTCCCGATTTTGGCAGGACAGTCACGATTTCTAACAATTTGTCCCATGTCCTGCAGCATTTTTAAAAAGTCCCGATTTTCTGGCTTCATGTTGAAAGCGCAGTGGATTTGCTTAATAAATCCTAACCGGGGCAAGACAAAATACACTCTGTCTAAGTTAAATATACCTAAGGTTTTATACAGAATCATTCTGTTGCATTCAGACAGTTATCGGTACTTATCAAATAGCATTATTATCTCATATCTCTTAAGCTTGCAGAAGATTGAGTCATCTATAATATAAAAAGCAACATCTTCTCTTGGTGAGGTGGATAAAGGGAGAGTACTGATGACAATAAACAATAAGCTGGATTATTGAAACAATGCTCCAGTACTTCATT